CCCAAGAACAGACCCATCACTGTCCACAGCCTCATCTGGGGTTATGGTGCTCACAGGGTTATGGGTCATGTGGAGCCCTGGGGTCACACTGAATTCTATGGGGTTATGCAGTCACATGGGGCTATGGATCAGGGCTTCACTTTTGGGCCACAGGGAACCCCAACCCCCTCTCAGGAAGAAATCAATAAATGCACTCCAACACCACCCCACCCCACATGCCCCCTTCTCACCCCAAACCCCTCCCCACATGCCCCCACACCCCCTACACCCCCACACTACCCCATGTCCCTGCTTTCACAAGTCCCACCTTTCCCTCATGCTTTGCCTTCTCCTGCGCAGCATCCTGCTCCTGCAGCCTGTGGCCCGTATCCCCATATTCCCCCATGCTCCTGTGCCTCCATATCCCCAGTGCCCCCCACACTTTCACCCACATCTGTGTCCTACACCTGCTTCAGCTCCACAGCAGTCACCCCAGCCCCAGCACCGTATGGTTGTATGGGATCTGGAAGGAAAAGGGGGTGAGGAGGTGGCCTGGAATTGATGACAGGCGTCCTGTCAGGGACTGTGGGTGTCTGTGAGGTCGCTAAGGAGCCCTTGAGGTGGTAAGGGAGGTCTGAGAGAGGAAATAAGGGGGTTCAGTGAGAGTCCAGTGGGGAACGTGGGGTGCTGCTGTGGAGGTCTGTGTGGTTTTTGGCCAGCTATGGGGGAGGAGTACCAGGTCTGAGAAGGCCAATAAGGAGCTGTGGGGTGCCGATGGGGTCTTGCTGAGGAAATACTGAGGGAGCTATTGGGGCTCTGAGGTAATTATGGGTGGGCTGTCATGGGAAGGTAAAGGGTGACCTTGGGGAAAGCAAGGAGCAGTCTGGGCGATAGAAGGGACACGTATAGGAATGCAAGGGGAATCCAGGCTGCGGCAAGGGGACAGCAAGGGGAAGAACAGGGGAACGTCCCAGGAACTGACTTCTTCTTTCAAATCCACATCTTCTGCTTCCTGACCTAGCTGCAAAGCTGCCAGAGGAGCTGCAGTACTGCTGCCCGTCTTCTGCCTGTGTCACAAAGAGATGCACGTTAGCAGGGTGCAACTGCCGTTAAAAAGCCAACTCCATAATTGCAGTCACAAAACCATCACCTTCAGGATCTGCAATTGAGCACAAGAACTTCTTTAGGTGAGGTGACGGAGCACTGGAACAGGCTGCCCAGGGGGGCTGTGGAGTCTCCTTCTCTGGAGACGTTCAAGATCTGCCTGGACACCTACCTGTGTGACCTGGTGTAGGGAACTGCTTTGGCAGGGGGTTGGACTCGATGATCTCTGGAGGTCCCTTCCAATCCCTACAATTCTGTGATTCTGTGATATCCATTAAGAGAGACAGAAAGAAAAAGCTACAAGGTAAGAGTTCTTTTTTTTCTTCTAGTCAGCACACTACAGCTAAATCTTCCATACTATGACTTTTTTCTTGATAGTGATGATCCCTTAACCTTTAGCACAGTGCTTTCTGTTGAGATTCCCACCAATGTCAAAGTATTAGTGCCACTTTTCTGCCTGTCTCTTTTGTTGTCTGTATTTTCTGGAATGCGGGGATTTCTTTTAGTGGCCTGCAAACACTGTTCAGATAACCAAGCAGTGCAGAAAAAGGCAGGGACAAGAGTCAGGGGCAAGAGGGTAATCCCAGGAAATCCTGTGTTGAAATCACTCAGTCCCATGAAGGAGCACAATCCACACAAATCAAATTCAGAGCAACCCAGCTCCTTTGGGGCAGAAAGGAAGGACGCCTGTATATTTCAACTGTACTAAGTCTGTAAGTACTATAAGCAAACTGAGTAACTCCGTCTTGCAAACAACAAAGGAAGTGCAGGCTCCTGGTGACAAAGATCCACAAGGACTTGAAGACATGAACATGCTTAATACATGATGAATCTCGAATGTGGGGTGTGGAGAAATCTTATATAGTGAGAAGGATTACTAAATGCAAAGATGACTGGATTTGTACCCATCCTCTTTAGTGAGAAGGCCAACTCCCCATGCTTTCGTTTTAGTTTAGATTTTTCAAGGGATTTAGGAAATTGAAGGCTCGATACCCTCAGGTGTCTGTAGGAACCTGCAGGATGTGTATGTGCAGGAGCAAGCCCCAGGAATTGCAAGTAGCAGTTCATTGTATGCAAAGTATGGGCAGTGCCATGGCCGGAGCACGCCCAGCTGTGCTATGGTAGGTCTGACACTGCTGTCAGCCCCTCAGATGCTTTGCGGGGACATCTCTCAGAATATAATGCAGAAAGAGAATTTATCTGGGGACAGCATGGTGAGGTCTGTGCCATGAACAAGGAAGATGCAGCACTGCAGACAGACTTTATGGAGCTGCTGCCCAGGGGATCCAGAGGCTCCAAGTTGTGCCCAAGCATGTGCCATTTTAAGAGATGTGAGATGTTCACTTTCATCCTCTCCTCCCTCTCCCAAGAGCACTACTATATCCACACACATGCCCATGTGTGTTCCTGCACCACAAGTCCTGGCAACAGGAAATAATTTCATGTTTCCACACAATAACTGCACTGTTGTAGTTCAGCTTGTGCCAAGTACCAGCTTCAAAACACAGCTCCTCCGCTCCCTTTGAATCACTGTGCACAGTTAGTGCACAAAAGCAAGTTCTCTACAAATTCACAACCTGTCTCTGCATGCAGCAATGACACAGCACCAGCACAATGTGGCAACGAGCGCTCTCTACCACACACAATTCAATGCAGGTTGCAAATGCATGTCTATTCTGTATGCACTTTTTTTTTTAAGCACCCAAGAAAGGTCAGCAGAACCACGCAAAGAGCTTTAAAGAGAGGGACACTTCACAGTGATTTCCCATTAATACTCAGTATTAATTGCTAAGGTAGATGCTCAGAAGTGCTGAGATGTATCACGAAAAGAATTGCTATGCTGAGACCAGGAAAATGCCAAACACAGGAATCAATTCTCAATGGAATTTGCCAACGCAATCCGTCTCCCACAAATAATGATTTCATTCAGACTATGAAAACATGGTAACCTATTATGCAGCATTTTATCAAGTCACTATCCCTGTACTAGCAGATGGGGAGTCTATAGTACAAAGCAGCAGATTCATTTGCCCAGAGCACTGTGATACCACAGTAGCAGGGCAGTGAGAGGTGTCAGGGCTGGGGGTGGATCTGCCCCCAGCCCTGCTCCCAGCAGCCTCACCACCAGCACTGACTGCAGTCCTGCACATGGATTTCCTCTGCTTGAATCCCTGCTGTGCTCATGCATGCTCCCTGCAGTTGTCAGGCACACACATGCATGCTTGTGCCCCTGGCTCATATTGTGGAGCTCTGCACAGACTGGGGCAGACAGCATCCTTCTGAGGGCTGAGATAGAAGGGAAGAGGAAAAATCCCATACATGACACAGAATTATCACACCAAAGTTTTATGAGGCTCTGTTACTAAACACAGTGTGACATGGGCTGTGAAACAATGCTGGGGGAGAAAACAAGGCATTTACCTGGTCTGAACAAGGTAGACATGTTCCTTGAATCTACAGCCATTACTCATCATTTCATCCTGTTCTTCCAGAAGCAAAAGCTGCACCAAGGGAGCAGGCAGAGGGTGGGGAGAAGAGGGAGAAAGAGCTGGTCAGTGAGCGGGGCTAAGCCAGACATGGAATAACGCACACAGCAAAACAGCCACATCAACTTGCTCCAAGACATGCTAAGTCTCGGAATTGAGGAGCAGAGTCATCAGATAGAAACTATCTCTGAATAAAGATGCAAATCAAACTGAGTGATTGTCTCTCTTCCAGCAGCCAGTCCAATGCTTACCACGAGACAAAGAGAGGCTGCCCAGGGAGGTGGTGGAGTCTCCTTCTCTGGAGATGTTCAAGATCTGCCTGGACACCTACCTGTGCAACCTGCTGTAGGGAACCTGCTTTGGCAGGGGGTTAGACTCTATGATCTCTGGAGGTCCCTTCCAACCCCTACAGTTCTGTGATACTATGATTCTGTGATCATGGTGGATCACCAATGTCCCATTTTAAGTCATTTTAACCTTTGAGTCACAAGGTGGTGCAAGAGATTAGTTTTTTGCAGCATTGTCTCAAAGCTTGCTAAGGAACACAGATGGACATGTCCTGGGCAAAGGCGGAGAAGTCCTTTGTCTGAGGGACACAGGACACTTCCAGGCAAGCCCCAGGCAAAGTTGGCAAAGTCTTTTGTGAGAACATTTGCAGGCCAGGGGCAATGAGAGAGAGAAAGAGAGAGAGAGATCAGCCACAGCTTAATGAGTGGGAAGCAGTCTTCTATGTAGGCTTAACTCAAGGAAGATGCCATCTCAGAGGTACTGCACACAGCTCTTACCTGAATGCCCAAGAATGCCATGCGGGTAGCAGAAGGAAAATAAAAAAGGGACGAACAATCTTGAGGAAAGGTGTCTGACATCAGAAGGCTCACAAGCTAATGGACTTTCCTGAGCCTGCTACCTGAGACCTGCTCCTTCCTCCTGGACTTGCTCTGTTGCTGTACCTGCTTGCTGCCTAAGGCCAGCCATGCTGCTGCTGCTGCTGCTGCTCTCCCCTGCACTTTTGCCTTGGACCATCAGAACAGCATGCAACAGGATGCTGCTGGATCTTGGTGGTGACTATTCCTGCTTTAAGCAGTTCTTGCTTCTTTTCTACCTTTCCTAGTGGGTTTCCCTTCCCCATCACCCTCATTCATAATAATCACTGGCCTCCCTTTCCCTGTCTCCCTATTTAAGATTTGTAATAAACTGGTCAAACCAGTATTTGGACTGGTGTTTCTTAATCTCTCTCATGTCAGGTATACATATACCAAAGAACCTCCTCTTCCTCTTATAAATTAGAGCTAGACACATAGCCAAGGCCATGGTCAGTGAAGGGCACAAGGAATAGAATAAGGATGGCTGACTCAATCTGGCCAAAGGATATTCCATACCACATGACATGAAGTGGAAAGAGTTTCAAAGGAGGTGGGAGTCCATCTCATGCTCTTCCACTACCTGGGGGCTAGCTAGGCATCGTTTGGGGATGGTGAGCAATTCCTGGTTCATCACTTGTCATACAGACACAAACACGCTACATAAATATAGTCATAACTACTATTATTTTCACTATCGTAGTAAATGGCTTTCTCTCAACTCATGAGTCCTGTATTTTTGCTCCCCTGATTCTCTCCTCCATCCCACTGGGAAGGGTGGTGTGAGTGAAGGACTGTATGGTGCTGAGCCACCCCACAGCAGGAGCACAGGGCAAGGGGGCAAGCAAGAACTGCACTGTGTCCAGGAAAAAATGAAAATGGCCTTGAGGTACACAAGTCAACTGTTTCATTTTCCAAAAAACAACATGAAACATTTCCCTCAGTAAAAGCATTTGCAAGGATATTTTAAATGACTGAAAGCATAGGAACCCATTAACGTTACACTGCTGACTAAGTGTTATTACACAAAATGCAGCAACTCCTGCAACCGATACCTCCAGGTACAACAAGCAGAAGGTGTTGGGTTGGTTTTGATGTAGAAGAGTTTGAGCAGAAATCTGAGGCCTTCATGGAAAGCGCCTTGCAGAGCACATCATCCCTGCACCAGGCAGAGCACTGCAAATCTCTCATCTTTCTGAACTTGAGGTTTGAAGCCACATGGTGTTTGTTGGGAGTTTGTGCCCCTAAACTCCAGAGCACATTGAACTGTTCCCTGGCAATTCACAGCTTGCAAAGTGTCGAACACAACAAAGAAAAGAAGGAGATTTAGGCTGGACTTTGAGAAATACTACTTTTCTAAAAGAGTGGTCAAGCACTGGAATGGGCTGTGATGCTGTGAAAGGAAGAAGCAAAAGCCACAGCTATGCACAGAAATGTGCTGGAAGGATTCAGTAGGAGAAAGAAACCAGCACAAGTCAACTAAACAGATTCCAAAGAATCAATTTATATCTCACAGAATTTTTCACACAAGAAGCACTGCTACACATACAGCACTGTATTTTGAAAGCAGCGTGTCCAAATCAGCCTCCTTACCCTGCTCTAACTGCTCAGCCAAACTCAGAAATAAAAGACACAACCTGTTTCTTTGCTCATGGCAGCAATGAAGCTCATGTTTTAGTGACACACAGAACTGCATCTCCAGCTACTGTGTGTCTCGCTAACCACAAGCTCAGTTGTGAGCTGTCACTCAGCCTGACACCACAAGCAGAAAATAAACATACATAAAGAGGTGCCCTTATCTACACATGCAAATCTGGGTGTGAAGAATAAAAGGCTCATTGGGCCACATGCAAAGCAGGCAGCAGATAGGCAAGAAACAGGAAGGAATGCAAGTCCAGCTCCTCCACACAAAAGACAGGGAGAGCTGAGTCAGCACAACGGGAGGAGTTATGGCACAGCTTAAGAGCTTACAGACACTTCAGCTTTCCATAGGAGGGTGCCTGGGTAACTCTCACCATTACTCTGCAGGGGTCTTACAGATGCTTCATACTGATTTTCAGTGCCTGAATTTGGGATAGTACTAAGCTGCCTGTGGCGGGAATGCTCAAGGTAGGCATGTGGACAAAGTTGCTCACAGAAGTCCAGGTGGCAAATACTGATTTTGTCCAGTTAATGGTTCTATGACTATGAATAAATAAAAAAAAAAAAATACAGAAAATAAAAAGCATGCAATCCTTTAAAAAGTTACCTGTCTACTGTTTTCTGTTGCTCCTGTCAGCACAACACCTAAGAGGAGCATTACATGTCCCTGCACCTGACTAAAGATGCATCCAAATCTATGTTCCATGCGGCTCCATCTGTGTAAAAAAAGAAACATGTACATAGATGTTTAGAAAATTCTATGTGCAGATAAAACTGCAAGGTGATTACATATTCCTTTTAGCAATAATATTAATTTATAATTCTAAGATAATTTTTCATGAAGTACTATGAAAGATCAGTGAAAAGGAAGTATATTATGAAGCATTCTGATTTGAAAAAACAAAAAATCTTACTAAATGCCTCCCCATCCAAAAGGAACCATTCCAGGTACTGTTAACTGCAGTTCAGAGCACCATAAAATGTGGCACTTTCCTTCCTACACAGGCTCCTCATTTCTCTAATTAATGCAAGATTTGTGGAAGTTAAAATAAATCAATGAGAACAGTTCTGCTGAGGTAGAAACCCACTGCTGGGACACCCCCCAGTCCTGTTCCCACCTATTTCTTCATCCCTCATCAATTCCCCTCTCAGGCTGATTTGCTCAGCACAAAACCTTCCAAAAGGCCGCAAATTAATCTCTGTAAGCAGGGCCACAGCTTGCATTATCCCCATCTTTAAAATCTGAAAGACAGGACACAAAAATGCAATACATACACAGCCCCTCCGAATTACATCTGCTAATTCTGCAAAGAAATCACTGCCTGTTTAATGGTAGTCGATTCATTCTTTATTGTCACATTAACATTTAGTGCTATCTGTAAGGCTTTCTTTCATCTGCTTTTATTTTAGCACTGCTGTTATTCTGGGCCAGCAAACAAAATGGATCTTACACCAAGTACGGAGGAACTTCTGAAAGGCTGTGTGCTACTTCCCCTGCTCCAATAATCTGCTCTTTCCACAGGTGGATCCCTAGTCAAGGCCTAACAGTTCCAGGTATCTCAGTTTCCCAGAAGCTGAGAAAAACTTCCAGACACTGGCTCTGTTCTGCAAGAGCTCCAGGACAGCAAAATCAGATCAAACTCCCCACATTCAGTTCCCTTGCTCTCCTCTCTCCCTGGTGCCACTGCTTCTTCAGACCAAGGTGCTTAAGAACAGCATTTAAGATCTGCCTTCACAGCCCTGATAGCCATTTCCACACTGCCCATTTCATGCTGAATTTGCACAATAGAACAATCAGTGGTGTTCCTTTCTCTCCCACTCGCTGTCTTACTGGAAATTCCCACAAGACAAGCCATAGGGTTTCACAAGAGGCAAGAGAAACGGAGGGAGATAAATCACACAGGGATTGCATTCGGGTGCAGCAGAGAAGTCTGCTGCCAGGGCTCTGAAGGAAAAAAGTGACAGCAACCTGCCACCATGTGCCTGAAACACAGCACAGCTTAAGGCAAGCCAATTCCTCACCTTTCCTTCTTTTCCACTGGTATCAAACTGCTCAAAGCTAAAGCTCTGTGAAATTCCCCTGAAGTCCCCAGTGCTGTGCAAGTTGCAAATCCACGCACGATAGGTGCCCCAGCTCCCCAGTACAACAGAGCTCTGTTCACTGCACATGTTCTCTGAAGAAAATGAGTATTCCAACAGCGAAAAGTTTGCAATCACAATCCTCCCTGTTCAGCTAACAGCTACAAACCTTCACTTGTCTGAGCTGTCTGCAACTGTGATCAACACCAACAGGATTTTACCATTCAGTGCCTGAGCACTGTAACCACTAACAAGGAGATCATTTCTTCCTCTTACCCCTAAATTTGAGGGTCCCTGTTAGATGCATGTGGTAATGCCAACATCAAAAGTACCACAACCACACCACTCAGCACTGCACCTTCCCAGTACTCCTGCTAGCACAGGACATGGCAGTCACTCCTGCACACAAAGAACAACCAACCATGCATGCAGTTTTTATTTTAACCACTCTGCCCTTGCCTGGCATTTCTTTCACCATTGAAGGAAGGAGCACCATCAGCTCCCTCTTTGCACAGCTGTGCGTTTGAACTCTCTGATTATAACAGAAATTTTAACATCTGATAGTTCCTCAGCATCACTTCATGTTGCTATATCAATGACTACCCAGAAGCCTGGCCAAATCCCAGCTGGCCAGGGAAACCTAACCCAGCCAGGGAAGTGAGAGCTCTCTACAACAGTTAGCCTTGTTACATATTACATATTAACAATGGCTCTACAGCTTGTTAGAAATGTTTTTCTCCACTATTTCTCTTCAAGACATGGTCATAGGGAATGTCAATAACAACAGAGAAACAAGATATTATTTAAATACTTCATACGTAGAACTTACATTCAACTCTAAAAGCACTGTAGGGCAAAAACTCCTCTCAAGTACACATCTTACACCTCACACCCTCTCCAAGTTCAATTTCTCAAGCATCCATGTGCTCCCCAGAGCGCAAGACTGACACTGACAAAAACAGTCAGCAAAACAAAGGGAAACACTCCTGCAGAGATGCACATCGTATACACCTCCCATATTACAACAAAAAGGTTCAGACTTTCCTAGTAGGATGGGAACCATAACTTCAGAAGCTTTACTGTAGACAGCAAACTTTTTATTATTCAGAAATGCAGCCCTCATAATAAATCATTTATACTCATCACTGTGATTAAGTCTAAGCATCAATGTCATTTGACATGAGCAAATCATAAGAAAGTCATTGCCCAGAATATAAAGCAAAAACAGTCTGTTTGAGAGCAGCATCAATGTAAGCGTACCAAATCCTAAGGATTCTCTACCTTGTGCAGTGCAACATAAAAACATTGGTCCACTAAAACAACTAAAGGTCAGACATATTAGTTAGAAAAAAATACATAAATCTGAAGGCTTGGATTAGTTTACCAATTAGTTTTGAGATTGCTCTTCTTAGCTTCTCTCATCAGCCACAACTCACAGCCTTGGAAGTCATTCTCATCATTTTCATGGAGCTTATGGTAGGGCCTGGTGTCGTCTAGGAAGGAAACAGACAGGAAGTTCACAGTTATCTTCTGTGTCGTGAGCTGCTGCACATTATAAAGTTCTCTGCAGTGCTCACTGCCACAGTATGCAAGCAGGCACACAGCTCCAAAACAGTTCACACATCCTTTGCTCTGTACTTCAGAGCAAAATTAGTTAAGCAGTGAAGGGAACAAAACTGCCACTCTTCAATATCAGCATATTAACTTCTGTTGTGATGTGATCAGCTATTGGGCATTTTCTGTTCCTAGAAATGATAATGCTAAAACCTGTATTTATGATTACCTTAGTCTCAACAACCACTGGGAAATTCACAGCACTAGGATCAAAAGGAAAAAAAGCACCACTGAAAGTACAATTAGCAGGCCACAGAATTATAGAGTCATAGAATGGCTTGGGTTCAAATGGACACCAAGGATCACCAAGTTCCAACCCCCAAGTCACAGCCAGGGCAACCAACCTCCAAATCTGGTACTAGGTAGGTTGCCCAGAGCCCTATTCAACTAGGTCTTGAACACCTCCAGGGACAGTGCATCCACAACCTCTCTGGGCAGCCTGATTCAGCACCTCACCACTCTCTGTGTAAAGAACTTCCCCCAGATGTCTACTCTAAACCTTCCCTCCTTGAGCTTAAAACCCCTTGTCCTATCACTGCCTACCCAAATAAAAAGTTGATTTCCCTCCTGTTTATTATCCCCTTTTAAATCATGTGGACATATATATATATATATATATATATATAGGGATGGGTGCGAGCCCTGACATGCATTCCTAAATCGGGGTAGCCCAATCTCAAACAGCAGCATGCTGGGTCACCCATTTGAACCAGCGCAGTCACTTGTCTCCTCCATTAAAAGAAGAATCACAGAAAATATTAGATCCAGTTGTTGATCACAGCAGCTCTCCAGAAGCTGCCAGTTACTCCATTGGGAGGAAGTTCTTGACAAGAAGGAAATTACTCCACCTGGCAGATACTAAAAGGTGGGCAGTGTGCTGATAAGGTCAGTAAAGAAAACCCACACCCGTGGTACATAGCTTTGAAAATCTGATTTGAAGAAGGGAATAGACAGGGCAGCCAACGCATGGAGCTAGAGCCTCCTGCTGACTCCCAGCTACCTCCCATTAACCACCCTTCACCATCCCAGCACCTCCCAGTATCCCCACCCACGTTCCCAGCGGCTCCCAGTAAATCCAGTCACTCCCGTTTCCCTATTGCAGTGGTCCCACTACATGCCGGTGACCCCCGATATCCTCTAGCCCACCTTGCATACACTCCCAGTGCCTCCCTATTGCCTCCAGGCAATATTTCTCCCAGCCGCTTCCCGCTTCGCCACACACACGCAGATCGCTTATGCCCTTTGGGGCGCCACAACCAATCAGCGCAGAGCCAAGCAGAGAACCCACCCCGCCTCCCCCGCCCGCGGAATAAGTGCACTCAGTGGGAGGTCCCGCCTTCTCGCTGACCAATGGGGGATCCTAGAAGAGTGGCAGTGCGGAGTACCAATAAGAGAGAAGTGACTGTGATGGCTTGTCCAGTGGGAGAATGAGGAATGCCTGTAACGTGTCTAACCCCCCCATTCTCGGAGGAAAGTTCTCGTGGCCTTATGTAGGCCCGTTATTGCCTTTAACCAAGTTACACGCAGGCTGCAGAGACGCAGCAGCAGGCGGCGACGTAGGCGGCGCGGAGGAAGGCAGCATCGCGGCGAGCGACGTGGGCCGGGCGGAGGGCGGGAGCGGCGCGACGAGTGACGACAGCGGAGCCAAAGGGCAACCGCAAAGGCGGGGTTGCGATCTCTCTTCCCTGCGGTTAGGGGTGGGGTCGGAGCTGCTTTCTGCAGCGAGGGGCGGTGGCGGTGGCGGTGGCGGTGGCGGGGATGGGAGGGAGGGCGGGCGATGGGGAATAGTCGGAAGGAATGCTTCCTTGTTGAATTTGTTTAAGCCCTTCCGTTATTCGGTGCCAAACGGGTAAAAGTCTAGCAGCCGTTCTGTCTATAGGAATAGAAGCCTCGCGGAGTTTTACGTCAGTTTTGTCCCAAAGCTCTCCATCAAAGGAGAATCCAAATTCAGGGACGTTTTTGCATATCCATTTGAGAAAAGTAGCTAATGCTGAGGTAGATACAGGCTGATTCTGAAACGTTAAAGCTAACCATAATGCTGCAAGATTTCCTTGCTGCTGCATCGTTAGCGAACCGCCCATCGTTCCCAAGCGCTCGCCTTCTGTCCTGCAGAACGGTGCGGGCGCCAATCTCTCCGTCGTTCAACCAGGTGGCGGTGCCGGGCCGGGCTCGCTCAGTCTCGGCTTGGTTTGCCCCCTGCAGTGGGCACCTTTTGCAGCACCTGATGCACGGACTCAGATATGAACGATCCAAATCATTTATTACAAGTTCTCACATCACTTATATACCTTCGCAAGTTTTCTTTTTCTATCTTTCACATCCACTCCTACAACTTTCCCTTGCTCCTATAACTTTATCTTGCTCCACAGCTGCTATTCTGAACAGTTTTTCTTGTATTCCCACAGTTTACTACCATCAGTCAACATTCCTGGTCAACCTCAGAGGACTAGAGGCTTGCCAGCATGGCTCCCATCTGCAAGGAGGGTCATAAGAAGGACTCGATGAACTACAGGCCTGTCAGCCAAGAACTAGTGCTGGCAAAGTTTATGGAACAGATCATCTTGAGTGAGATCGTGAGGCATTTATGAAACAACCAGGTGTACAATCAGTGAGCATACAGAGGTGTAAAATCAATTGGCATACAGATTTTTAGGCTAAGTAGGATTATTGTAATAGAAAGATAATAAGTGGAAAATGCTTACTGATGTTGTAGGCTCACAGTGTTCTCCATGAGGAGTGATCTCCAAGAAGAGATCCTTCCTCAGTGGCAGTCAGCTCTTAAATGGGGTCTAGGAGAGATGGAGCAAGGCTCCAGCCCTTCCAGTAGCACAAGTGAATTACTGGGAGTGATGGTGAATGGAGTTAAATCCGGTGACTGATCATGAGTGCTGATCCCCAGGGGTCAGTACTGGGTCCTATCCTGTTCAGTATCTTTATTGACGAAGAGATTGAATGCACCCTTAGTAAATATGCAGATGACACCAAGTTGGGAGGAATTATCCAACTTCCTGAGGTTAGGAAGGCCATACAGAGGGATCTGGACCGGCTGAATCATTGGGTGGAGGCCGACGGGGTGAAGTTCAATAAGACCAAGTGCCAGGTCCTGTACTTTGGCCGCAACAATCCTGCACAGTGCTACAGGCTTTAGGCAGAGTGGCTGGATGACTGTGCAGAGGAAAAAGAGCATCAACCAGTACCCTCAGGTCAGCTGAACATGAGCCAGCAATGTGCCCAGATAACTGAAGAAGGCCACTGGCTTCCTGGCTTGTATCAGAAACAGCAGAGCCAGCAGGAATAGGGAGATGATTGGCCTCTTGTACTCAGCTCTCATGAGGCTGCATCTTGAGTACTGTGTTCTTTACTACAGGGTCTTTATTACAAGGAAGACATCAAGGTCTGAAGTGTGTTCAGAGAAGAGCAATAAGGCTGGTGAAGGGACTGGAGCACAAGCCTTATGAGGGGTGGCTGAGGAAACTAGGATTGTTCAGTTTGCAGAAGAGAAATCTCAGGGGACCTTATTGTTCTCTACAGCTCCTTGAGAGGAGGTTGTGGCACGATGGGGGTTGGTTCTCCTGGGTAACTAGCAATAGAACTAGAGGAAATGGCCTCGAGTTGTGCTAGCAGGTGCCCAGGCACATGGTTGAGTCACTGTCCCTGGAGGTGTTCAAGAAATGTGTGGATGTGATAGTAAGGAGCAGGATTTAATGGATAGCGTTGGTTGTAGGTGATGATTGGACTAGATGATGTTAGAGATCTTTTCCAACCCTAATGTTTCTATGATAAGTAAGTGATTAATTAATTCTGTGATGCAGTGTGAGACTTTATCTGCCACTCATGACAGGAAGAAGTATTTTGTAGGGTACATACTCAGTGAACTGAAGAACAAGCTTGTTCTTCATCTTCCTCTGATCTTCCTCTGATTTTCCTGTTTTTCCAGTCCCAGCTTTAAGTTCTTCCCTTATGTACAGACTCAGCAATTTTGTGGATGCAGAATTATGCAGTGATGTCAGAAAATGACATGTGCATGTGAGCCCTGAAATGCAATATGAACTTATTAAGTGAGGCTCTCGGCTAAATTTCTAACTGCCCTCAGTCTGTAGAACTGCAGCTGTTTCCTGCAGTATAATGTCATCTTGTTCTTGTACGTGTACAGGCCCACCACTCTAAAATGGGAGGCATTACTTTCAAAGCAGACCTTGAACACTGGAACTCAGAGAGAAAAAGCCCAGGGTCTCAAAATCTGAAGTTAGCACTGTGTAGAAAAGGTGTTTGGGCTAGCTGACCTCCGCACATTGCTTACGACCAAAATCTTTTTATGAAGTAATTCCTCTGCAGTCATTCTCACCTGTTCCTTACACCAAATTCATTCTGGCTGTGTGTGACAGGACTCAGTTTTTTACTGCAGGATGACTCAGAAATGTCCTTGGTTTCAAATCTGAAATTTATTTTTCCCCAGACTTTTCATCCCTGTGGCTCCATCTCATAAGTTACTCACATGCATCAAGTAGCTGGATTCTTGTCTGCTTTCCTGCATTTGGGGTGCTCTGGAATACAAGCTCTGGAGTACAAGAAATTAACAATTATTAAAAGAAGTGATTTCAACTTACAGGCCAGTTCTTCACTAATATAAATCTGTCATTTATTTCACCGTACAGTAGTCTGAGATCAAAACAGCAAATGTTTCTTTAAGGTAGTGAAGTAACAGCTGTATTTCTGCTTCCTTACTGGGAGTTAGTGGCTTAGGCAATTGGGTTTGTTGCTATTGGAGCATCATCAGCGTGCATTCATTCTCTGTGCAGCCAGCATATAAAATTTGCAAGAGCTGCACACAGCATTTACTCAATGTACATCACTTAGCAGCCTACAAATAGACATCTGGCTACTGGACTAAAAAAAGCACTTGGTAATACAGGCAAATGAGTTAAGAACAAGTTTTCCTTTCTTATATAAATGATTGTATCTGTAAGAGACTGAATGGTGAACAGGCCACCTTTCCAGCCAGAAGAGGGGAGGATCATAGAATCATAGAATCACCAAGGTTGGAAAAGACCTTCAAGATCATCCAGTCCAACCGTTCACCTATTCCCAATAGCTCCCACTAAACCATGTCCCTAACACAACATCCAGCCTTTAATGAAGTACTGAAGTAATGAAGGATGAAGTACTGTTGCAACATTTTCTTGTGTTTTTAATACTTTCCTTCAAGGTCTAGGTGGCATTTTGCAGCAGTTAATAATTGTTATGGACACAACCCAGTTCTAATCACCTGAAGGACTAGACACTTTGTTCCTTTGACTGAGGCCTTATACTGGTGGTGAATATGTTTAAAAAAATCCTGTACTGAAAGTAAGTTTGGACTTTTGAGCAGAGTTTAATGGTTGCAGAATCCTCCCTGCCTGAATTGGAAACTAGGAAATCTTCAGTTTGCTTGAGGAGCAGTGTGCAGTTGTGGATGTTGGAGCCTCAGCTAATAATTCAACAGAGATTTCCTGGGATTAAGCTGTCAGTGAGGGTATGGTCGTCATTTAGACCACTGACACCTGAGTAGGGGCGTGTTGGCTGACTGTCAGCAACTGCAAGGAGTGCAGAGGATGAGCTTCCTCCTTGCCAATGAATGTCAAATCCCTAAACATTTTCACACAGTTCATGTGTATTTGCCAGACAGCAAATGCTGTGAGCAGCAAAGCGTAGATTTGAGCTCAGTTTCTTTCCTTCCTCAAATAATGCATGTGTAACAAGATAGGATTGTCTATTTCCATTGCATGTCTTTCCATTTGCATTTCAATCTCACATTATTATCAATCAATTTTACTATTCTAATTTGAAATGAGAACTAGTTCTTCTTAAGAGAAGAACTCTTCCCACTATTATCTTAGCTGGATTTTGCCTAGATTCTTACAAAATCTTCTCTTGTCTTCATTCTTCCATCCACTCTCGTGTTTGTCTTGTATATGCACCCATGTCAGGTTAAACAGACATCTTTTTGAGCACAACCTTTAGCTGGCTTGTTGCAGAGGAAAGAACGCTGTGTGACTAACTCATTGTTTTATAATGTTTGTATAATGTCTCATTAAGCAGCATTTGGTCCCACAGGTCTAAATAAATGGTTAATTTTTGTAATGAAAGTTTATAGGAGGATTTTTTGGCAAATGTTTTTATCTGTGTGTGTGTGCTTTTACTTTCTGGGTATTTTGCACCTTGTATGCAGTCCAAGACCTCCAAGTGTATAACGA